CTTCAATATTGGCGCAATTATGTATCTTTATAATTTTTGTAATACTATAGGCGTGATTGACACCGATCATCTGGAAAAAGTATGTTAATATTTTATTAATAGATTTTAATTATGTAAACGGTTCAGTTATACATTTACAAACTTTTTATATATCGAGATATATCTATCGAGAGTCGAGAATGAAAAAATGTTTTTTTACATGACTAGTTTTCAGATTGTTTTGTACATACATGCTACTATGTACAATTAATTAAATTACTCTTATTATTATTCTTCCAACATTGATTAAATATTAACAAATAGTTAAATAAAATTGGCACAATCACCTCTTTAACTTTTATAAATAGTTTAAAGCACGTATTGCCGCGTTATCGCAAGAAATGCAAATTTTTTACTTGTGTCATTTTTCTCGTTAACACGGTGATATCAATCACCTAAAGATAGATAACACAATAATAAATAATATATCATAAATATTAATCTACATTATTGTTATAAAGTAAATAAACATAAGTACTTGTTATTCATAATGAATAATATATCATAAATAGTAATCTGAAATTATTGTTACAAAGAATAAACATATGTATGTACATATTACTCAAGTAAAGATTACAATAATCAAAGCTCTTCAATTTACATTTGAAAAACAAAAAGAAGATATAATAAAACTTTTCCGTTATTATATTAAATAGATAGCAGAGAAAATTAAAGGGAAAAATATGAAAATTAGGTTTTTGGTACTCGCATTACTTCGTATCCTTAATTTTAAATTGGAAGCGAAAGATTGTACAGAAACGCGCGTATGTACATTAAATTGGAATTGTGTGCTCTACATTTATGTAACTCATTCTCAACACGATTGCAAAACACGTGACAGCAAGTTGTTTCTGTGGCATTCACTTCTCAGAAGAAGTTACGTCGTGTTAACGGCCTATCAAAATTGCAAAGAGAACGTAATCTGCCTATCAGTTTTGCCAATTAACATTACAATAAATCTATCGAGAGCGCGTGTTTACAGCAAAAAAAATTGCACAAAAAAAAAAGTAGAAAATGCATAATTTATGAACGTTTCTTTTTAACGGAATCGCAATTCGAATAATTACGCGTGTAACGCGTGCGCGCTACTGTAAATATAGATCGGCGATTAGTTTATCGTGAGACTTATTTGTCGGCGCACATTATCGTTAGCGTTTTTCTTATGCGCATATCTAATCACTGTTGATTTTTGCAACGAAACAGATAAAGCGAAGGGATCCACATTCACCGTGGTCGATCGTGAAATGGCACGACGCGCGCGCACAAAATTGTCGTACAATACGTTGGTCTCGAATAATTGCTCCGCCACAAAGATATCCAAATATTATCGCAACGTTTAGTTATCTGTAAAAACGTTTTAAAACGCGTAATAGAGCATCGCCTAGCTGGAAAATATTTTTGTGTCACACCGAAGAAATATATTACCGTTAAATATCCCGGCAAGATATTCATAATAAGTATTATAAATTATACCGCACAAACTCAATAATGCTTACGCAATTGATTCTATTATGCATAGGTATATAAGCCGCGCGATCGTAAAATCTTTTCTTTCTCTATCGTATTTAATCGCGCTGGTGCAACCTCGCCTTATTTTAATAAATCGTTGAACGATCTCTCGCGCTCTCGGGACGAACGCACGCGTTATTACTAGCGTCTACCGACTGCTAGTAGAATCCGGACGAACGTGATACACTAAAATATTTAGAGCGGCCGAGTGGCGGAGTGTTAATTGCGGCTGCAACTTACTTGCGTCGCGTGTATACGCTCATAAGGAAGAAGTCCTCGGGGTATTGTGCCAGAAACTGCGTCGTAATTTACTAAGAACGACGCGAAACAGATTCGAGATGCACGTAACACACGAAATCACATAAATGTTATTATAGTTTTGCGGATCTCGGGTGATAATCTTACATAAAATGTTTTTTTTTTTTTTAATAATTCTCTGCAATAGTGTCGTAACTTCACATATCTTTCTTTCCCTATTACAAATGAGGAAGGTAAAAGAAATTATCTTATGTGCATATTTAGTTTCCTACTGACAATTAAGGAAACAAAATAATTATTGGAACAGGTCTCCCCTCCCCCCTCTTTTCTGCGTTTAATAAATTGCACGAACTTTCTCTCGTATATCGTTTTTGTATATTTTACGCATTAAATGAGTGACTGTGAGCAACAACCTATTAACTGTCAGCTATTAATGTCGCGTTTTCTATCTGGAATTCCGTTGATATTATCGCGCATTAACATATAGTTAACGACGTGATATTGCTGCTGTAAATTAAAAATCGCTATCAAATCATTTGCTGCAAGAATGCATAAAAAAATTTTCCTTTCGGGGGTTAAAACGCGAGCTCCTTCAAACATTAGCGTAACTTCGTACGTTTCGTCTCCGTCAGAGAGACGAATAATATTATTTTAGATAAGATAAAAACCCAGCTGCGAGTTAATTTCGAGAGCAGTAAATATGTTGTGTTCGAATCGGACCAATGAAAGGCTCTTCGTCATTGGCTACTCTGTGCCGTTGTTGTAGAAATATCGTTCCGTGTTGTCCTGGCGAATAAATCGCGATAACAGGCCGATGTTTAATTTGGTCTGACGTATGCTTTCTCTGACACTTGCATGACATTGACACGTGGGAGACGAACGGCGCTCGATATTCAATCCCGATCGATTGTAAGAAGAGATCGAGCGAACAAAAACAAACTGCTGAACCATATGATATACGCTATAAATAGGATTTATGTAATAGCGCATATGTAATTTCTCATATACTTAACCAGCCGGAGTTGCGAATAATCTCGTAGCATAAATGTTTTGACTTCGTGCGCGCGTTTCCCGCGGCGACACACCGAAACGGGTAGATAAACCACGACGCAGTTTTGTATAATTAATTTAACTCTTCATTTTTCCCAACAACAAAAGGCTAATTGTTAAGTAACAGCAAGTTATATAATCTGAACATGTTTGCCGTGTTTGTATTAAAACAATTTGAGAATACGTTATTAAAGATCAAGGTTTAATATAACGATAATAAAAGAAACTAAATCGATTTTTACAAATTCTACAATTCAAAATCTACAATTTACATAAGAACAAAAGTAAATTTTGATTTATTTAACATTTTTCTTGATAAAGACGACTGCTGTATTTTTATATACGTATATCGACCTTGTTTGAAATTATTGCTACGTGTATTTTAATATAAAGTCGTTATTCAGAATTGAGAAATTAATAACTCTTAAGAAACTGATTCGATTTTTACAGAAAAAAAGATTTTTAAGTTAATTTATATTGAATACTTTTCTTGTCAAAGAGAATTGTCCATTTTCATGTAAAGTTATTAATTGAGAATTTGCAAGAAGCTGAATCGAATTTTATACAAAAGATTTTTACGAAAGCGAATCTCTTTAGATATTAATTACTTCTCTTGACAAAGAAAATTGCTGCTTGTCATTTTAACACGGAGCCGTTGTTGAGAATAGTAAGTCGCACTTCCGGAGGAGAGAGAGATAGGGAATATCGATTCAGAATTACCGTCGAATCAAACGGAGTGAGAATCTCTCAACTTTCGATGTCTGCAGTCGCATCGGCGCCATATGTTAGCGTGTAAAAGCCGTTGCTCTATTCTCGCAAAAATCGACTAATAAAAAGGTAACTCGTCGACCTTCGATATAGTCTACGCTTCGCGCGGCGACTGTGGTTCTCCATCTCTCTCCTCCACTGCCATCAGGTCTCTCTCTCTCTCTCTCTCTCCCTGTCTCTCCCAGCTATTTTCTTCTCTCTCTTTCTCTTATTGCGCACCGTCCGCGCGTATGTGTACGTACGTACGCCGCTCTGCCAACTTTCACGTATCATAATATACAGTGAAAGAATGTGGTTTCCCTTTCAAATTACAAAATATGCCACGAGTGTGCAGTTCAGTACACTTCCTTTTCTTTAATTTCATTTTTTTTTTTTACGTTATCTCTATAAGTTTAAACATTTTTTTCAATTGCCTACTCTTGGAAGCAACGCGCAATTTGTAATCGACACTTTCAAAAGCAAACGTTAAATAAAAAGAATTTGAAATAATCAAATATATTAATAAGATAAAAAAAAAATATTTCTTTGTGACTTCGCGTTTACGTCTGTCGATGATCTAATGTTTATGTATTCTGTTTTTTTTTTCAACTTGAAACCTCTCGAGCCTCTTCTCGCGCCTTTATTCGTTCGAAAGTGTACATCCTGTTAACATGGCGATCTAAAGATTTAGACTGGCATAAGGTCGGAGCGCCTGGAACTGAAACCTTGATTGAGATATTACATTGCCACGGCGCGCACAATCGGTGCGCAGTTTTATTATTAAAGAAGGACTTGACCTAGATTTTATCGGCGAGAAGAAAAAAAAAAAAGATACCTAGACGATCCGTCCTGAATGTCTATCTGACGTCTTCGTCGAGCGGCAGCAGCGTTATTGCCGCCGGCGGTGATTTGTATCATCTTTCACGTTATTAATTTAGACAAGAGGGATGGATTTATGTAGGCTGCGACGAAACTGGGTCAGGGACACACACTGGGTTTGCATGCGCTTAAATGTAGTACGCTATAGGCAGGCCATCCGGATTCATATTTCCTGCGATGAAAGATACATATGTATATGTGAATAAGTTATTCCGGATAAGCGGCGGTTCTAATGAGACCAAATTAATAGTTCATACCGGTTAACAGCTCACGTGTTTTACAAATACGTAAGTGATTACGCGCGAGTTACGTTACGAGCGGCAATTCATTTATGTATTAAACATTAAAATAAATGTAAAGTGCAAACCGTGAATTTTTCAAGCGATTATTTTTTCTTTTCTCCACTTTTTCTGTATCGTGTTTCTGTATCTAATCTTTCAGACAGTGGGCGAAGGAGAAAAAGGGGAGAAGGAGATAAAATATTTTAAATTAAAAATAGAATATTAAAAATAGAAAAATTGTGTTTAAAAAAATGTATTAAAACGTTTTATTGAAAACGGTGAAAAAGATATACTTTTAGTGTAATTAGTGAACACTTTGCAACAGATTTCCCGCAATCCCTTTTTCACTGCAACAGCCCGTGGCCTTTGTCCCGCGACCTCAGTACTTAAGGCTGTCTCGGACAGCCGCGAAGCAACGCCACTTATCCGGTAGATAGAACGGCTCGAAGACGTTCGGAAAGGGACAGTCCCAGCCCGTGATCCTTTGAACCGGCGCCTCCAGGTGCAGGAAGCACTCCTCCTGTAAATTCAATTTGATAACACGCGCCATTAGAGCGACTCGCAAACAGTGACTCACGGTCCGCGATTAGTTTTCCAGCTTTTCTATCGCGCGCAACCGACTTTCTAATTTATAAGAACCGATCGGGCGCGGTATCGATTAATCGGCGGGCAACAAACATGCGCGGGGGGATTTGAGAAACAAGACCGACTAATGGGCCACCGGCGGAGAAACTGGTTCGAAACTATTACGCGCGTAACATTACCATCCCG